TCGTGTCCTGAATCTAGCCCTAGCTCTGAGCTATTGGAGTGGGAGACAAGCTTCGAGGGAGATCTTGTTGAGGGGGAAGAGATGTAGTGAGTTTGGGTTGGATTTTTGAGGAAGAAAGAGGATGAGATTTTTCTGTTTTGGGGAGGGAGATGAAGGGAAACGGGACTTCACAGGAGTTTGGGCATTTTATATTTTTTTTAGAACTTCACGGGGCTTCAAGTCCCGTGAAGTTTAGCAGCTTAACAAATTAGCTGCTAAACTTTACGGGACTTCAAGTTCCGTGAAGTTTGAGAACTTTTTTTTTGTAAAAACCGACCTGGTTTCAGCAACCTTGCTGAAACCAGGTCGGTTTTTGCAAATAAATTCGAAATGGGTCATTTTTTGGGATTAAATGTTTAAGTACGGTGGTTTTGAAAATTTATCCCATTCAGAACCTTGTTTTGACATTTACTTGAACACCACAGGATTGACCTCTTTGTTTGATGCACCAAATTTAGGTTCCATGAGATAGGTTTGTGTCTTATATGTTCAATATCAGAAACTGGTATGACTCTCATATCTCCTGGCTGCAGACTGTTAGAATATTTCACGTTATTTTTGCCATGATAAAGAATTGCATTTGCTATATGATGGTTAACTAATTACGACCGTCAACCAAGCTTTTCCACAATAATCTGATCAAGCATATAACCTTATTTGCAGCGGACCAATACTATGATTTGTTTGCAAATAATACGCAACGCTCATCTGAACTGCAATAGCTGCAATATTTTTTGTCTAGATAAATGTTAGTACCGAAAGTGAACGAACAGCAAAAAGATTTTACGATTCTTCCACATGAAGATCGCTTGCTACCGCTGTTAGTTTATTGAGGATACGATATAGCATAGGCGTTTAGGAGGCTTATTTAAGCTAAATGTACACCACTTTATGAGCTTTATTATAAAGATCTCTCCGTCACTAATGTATTCTTGAATATTTTCTCACTTTTGTGACTTTATACCTTATTTTATCATTACCAGTTTTTTCTAGGAAATTTTTATTTGTAAAATTGATTGCAACTGGTAGTTTAGGCATTGGATTGGTGTTTGACCCAGTAGTCAAAACATGCTTAATATTATAGCAGTCTGTTGATGGAGTGGAAGCTACCATTGTCCTGCATCAGGTTGAGACTTGGAACTGTTGTCTATAAATCTATACGTTATTTCGAGTTGCGATGCTTCGTTAAATCATATCTAACTGTCTCTTGATAACTTTTTCCCCGTATCGCTGAAATGTACATGTTGATATTGTTATGAGTCTTTTGACTTTTTCCCCCATATGCTGATTCAGCTAAATTTCACCTGAATTGTCTTTCCTCGTTTTACCCTTGCATATTTGTCGACAGGAGCTCTTTATGCGCAACTATGTCTTTCCTCGTTTTACTCTCGAAGCACGTGTTTTTTATTTTTTAAGAATCATTATAGTTGTTGTGCATTTGAAAATATTTCTTGATTATCTAGTTCATGTATAACCTGAGCATGCACTGGTAAGACGCAGATTTGGTTCTGGAACTGGATGTTTATTTTGAGCACATTTAAACAGATTCAGTAAGTTATTGGGAGCAAGGATCTGTGTTGCTAATTTAAGTTTCTTTTGAGGAGGAAACCCTTATACATCTTAGTCAATGTTGCTACCTGCCCTCAAAGTCACCTGCAACCGTTGTAGCTCCTCTAATTTATCCAGGTTTGAAACTGTAAAGCTTCACATTTTATGATTTGCGACTACATGAGTTTCCAAAGACGTTAAAATTCTCGAATTAGTTCAGTGCCCTAAATCTAGAGCTGTGTACTGGCCTGCTTCTTCTTAGCCTTTTTTAAGGCCCATGATCCCAGAATTGGTCCAGATCTCGGCTTGGTTAAAAAAACAAAAAACAAAAAAGACTAAGCGGGCCTGGTTTTTATCGTGTCGCCAAACAATGCCTTAACGGTTTGCAGCCGAGCACCTGCTTCGAGAGTTGTCTCATATTAAATCTCTTACCATTCCATCTGCAACTTGGCAATTTTCTCTTTTTTTAGTCATTTTTTAAATAAAAAATATAAAATATCAATCTACCTGTGTCTATTATTCTAATACTAAACTAATAAAACAACAAATCTTTCCCACGTCTCAAAGGCTTACATCCTGGCTTTTTAAATTCCTATTTACATAATAATAAATTAATAATTCTTTATTTTCCTCCTCCTCGATTCAAGCACCCCCTCTTTCCAAACTTTGCATATTGAAAATAGAAATTCTCTCATTTCCAGCCTTCCAAGCTCTTCTTTGTCTCTTCAACTTCTGTGAAGCCTTTTCTCATAACTAGTTGTTAATGTAATCAATAATTAGGAGTGAGAAAGCGCTTTTTTTGAGGTGCGGAACGACTTGCATGAGATTATCTTTTCACCCCTTCCTCAGAGGATTCTTCACTTTGTTTCTCTTCTATTAGCTTTCACTAACCGATTCCAGCGGGTAGTATTTCTATTTCCTCTATTTCTCCCACTTTTTTCATATTATTCAATTTCTCTTTACTTACCTATTTATTTTCTTTTTCCTTCAATTATTCCAGGAGATTTAGGGGCTGTTTGGTTGATGTATTTGGCATTGGGGGTTGGGCAGAAAGCCTGCCAAAAGAGCACTTTTGGCAGGCTTTCTGCCCAACCCCCAATGCCAAATACATCAACCAAACAGCCCCTTAGGTTCAAAAGCATTCCCTGTCAGGCATTTCTCGATCTACACGTCTTCAGTTGATTTGATATGTATCTAATATTCAAGCTTGACTTTTTTTACGTGATTGGTGTCGTCATGAAACCAAAAATGTAAATTGATCATATCATGTTTTATTTCAGTTAATTATTTTCCCTTTTGAAATGTTGGTATTGGGGTTATTAAAGTGATTGCCTTATTTACAGATTATTAATCAAATGAACTTTTTTGAGTCTCCATTTTCCTAGATCCTAAGGTATGAGATTGTTTTTTATTGACCCGTTTTAATTTTCTCAAAGATAGTACCATCATTTTTTAAGTTAAGTAGTGTGGCATCCGCAAACTATTATTTTATGCATTTTTCTTGCAATTAATATGGCTAAGGATTTTAG